TAAATATAAAAGAACTCAGATTTCTAATTAGTGAAGAGCTGTAATGAATGGTAGCAGACAGGGCAAATTGTTGTACAACTTCTAGTGGCTACAAGGAAAGATACAGTGATTCGTACACTCCTACAAATCTGTAGTGAGAAAGAAGTCAGTTGGCCTTGACCTTGCCCCCAGCCCACTTCAGTGTACGTGAGAAACCCCAGTGACCTAGAGATGGGGGAGTAGATGGTCCCTCTCTGGTGGCCCTAAGAGGGTTCTGGTCAACTCTTTCCTGCTTTGCGACTAAAACTTTTAAGAGAGTAGAGGTAAGTGAAGACCAGTAGATTCTAAAACACAGGAATTTCCTAAAATAGGCCAAAAGGTGTGCAGAGAAATTCTGGTGGTCCCAAGGAAGCCACATTGTTCAAAAACCAGGAAAAGAATTAAACCTCAAAAAAAATTTTTTTTCCAGTGAGCCTTCCGTTCAGTGTATGTGTAAGTGTTCTCTCATTACAGGCCTTAAAACTTATGCCGTCGCACATGCTAAGAGCCCTACTGAACGCAGGTGGTGAACTGTGGATTTGCTTGGGAAGCTTTGTTAGGTTTTCAATGAAAGCAAAGCAGTCTCATCTCTCTTGGTTATTATTTAAAGAGAATCCTGTAAACTTCTAGAAAAGCAGTTTCCCTCTGATGGAGATGTTTCTGTTTAGAGAATTTTAGGACAAAATTATATACCTGAGCACCAATACATTAAAAAATAATTGATTTTTATAGATTAACTGTACCTTTCACTGATGATTTTGCAACTGACAGTTTTCATACAGTTTTATTTCTTTCATTTTGCTCAATTGTACATACTGTACTTCATCATTTTTGAAATACACGTGTTTTTAACGTTTAACGTCCTCCAAAATTAGAGTGTGTATTATAATCAGTGGGATGAAGATGTTTAATTGGCAGTGTATTTTTTCCTATTAGGTATATAAAATAACAGTGCATCTTTCTGAGAATGGCATCTTATTCAGTAAACTGTGGTAGTTTTGCTACATTATGGTCTGTTAACTTGTCAGGAAATTCCTCCTTATGAGACCAAGGGAGTGATGAGAGCCAGTTTTTCATCCAGAGAAGCAGATAATCACACTGCCTTCATAAGAATAAAAACTAACGCTTCAGACAGCACGGAGTTCATCATTCTTCCCGTTGAGGTGGAAGTTACAACAGGTCAGTGGAAAACTAACCGCACTGCAAGTTCATTTTGCTTTTAACACATCTTACTCTGGCAACGCGAAGTGTAATTGTTTACTTTTCTTTTTTCCAAGCTCCTGGAATTTATTCCTCAACTGAAATGTTAGATTTTGGTACGCTGCGAACACAAGGTAAAAAAAGAGACAGTGTCTTTATAGGTCTTTTTTTTCTTTTTTTAAATCCCCGTGTTCAGTGCTGAATGGCTCTACGTTAACTCCTTTGTAATTAATTCAGCTTTGAAAGTTGTCTCTCAGTGGGTTACTTGATCTGATAGAAATCTGCCTTTGGGAACTCAGAACCTTTAGGGATTTTATACCCCATTTCTCTGAGGGATACTTGCTTTCCAGACAGGAAAACCTTGTCATGGATAACTTAAGTCTTCTAAGTGGAAGACTGAGGGAGAAAGTAGTTTCTTAGTTTCTTCATCCAGCTTCTCACCTATTTCGTCATGCCAAATCTTTTCTTTTAATGCTGAAATAAAGGAAATAAAAAGATTTACTCTGGATTTTTGTTTAGATACGAATTATTCAATTGCATTATTATGACATAATGTTAGAAATTGGTCCCAGATGGTCAGAGAAAGAATTCAAATTCTAAAATTGAAAATAACCAAAAAGCATTTATTAAGAAAAAAGTAAGAGTATGTAATTTGGGATTTCTGTGGACCATATGTAATTAAGATGTGGTGGTGTAGGATTGAAAACCCATTTTTGAAAATTAGATTTGGTTTTAATATGATAATTTCATATTATACTTTATTAACTTACTTCATTATGCTTTGCTGGAAAACTGGAAGATCAATGATAATGTCAGTTGCACTGAAAATGTTCTGTTTTGGTTTTTGGTCTGGGTCTTTGGAAGGGGGCAGTTACAATACTCACTGTCCTTAAGAATAAGGCAATTCCTATCTAGCGTTTCTTTTTATTAATGTGATTGTTACTCTATTTCACATTCTAAAATATATTTGATCTGATCTTTAATAAGAGAAAGATTCTAACTTACTATAAAGCATACCTTTTAAAAATATTTCTTTTCCTCAATTTTAACAGATCTACCAAAAGTTTTAAATCTTCATTTATTAAATTCAGGAACAAAAGATGTACCAATAACAGTAAGTTTTTACTTATTTTTTTTCCTACTTTACAAATTCTTTGTTTTAAACTTACGACAGACTTTAAAATAATTCAAGTCTTGCTCTAAAGGAATTCTGTTTGATGGTGACCTGGTGACACTTTGGTTCAAAGTGTGATACAAGAAACCTATTATGCTTCTGCCCAACAGATTTTAAAATAAAAAGGGCACAGTCAGTCTTCTCCAAGCTGAGTTTGAACCTAAGTTCATGAGGTTCCTATTTAGGCAGAATTCTGTCAGAGGCCTGTGGATTCTGATAAACCCTAGGATCTGTGTGCTGTGTGCAGAGAAAAATAGGTTGTAAGGATTCTGTCAAGTCTGGTTGTTGGACTTAAGGTGTGGTGAAGTAAGAAGAGAGAAGGAAAGAGTCATATGACTGGGCTGAGAAGTAATGAGGCACAGAAATGCAGCGGTTGGTGGTAGGCTGCTGGTACCCAGCCACCAGCCAACTGGCAGCCGCCACGGTTACCCGGGACAGCACACTGTGCACCACTCTCCCCCTCACGCACGCACACAGAACAAGTGACTTTGATGCCTTAGTGGGATTGGAGTGCCGTTAGATGGTTTTGGTGGTAGGGAGAGACAGGTTATCCAGGTTTTGCTTTAGCCCACAGTCTCACCTGGTAAGGTCCCCAGGTTACAAAGGGAGTAATGGGAAAGGAAAGCAGAGTATTTCTATTATAACCTGAGCACATGTCAGAAACCTAAATTCAGAGATCTCTGGTAAAATGAGGTAGATCAGGTGGGCTTTGAGACTTA